GTTCACTGTGTTGCAAGTTTAGTGGATCAGCAGTGACATGGTGAGTTGCTCCTGAATCTGGAAACCAGGTGTAAGACTGTGGATGAGGTCCAAGGATAGAAGAACTTGCAGATGCCATGGCTGCAGTAGGTCCAGAGTGTTGAGGTTGTTGATTCCAGATGATTGGAGAAGCATAAGAGTTGGATGGAGTATTAGCAGAAGCATGAGACATCTGGTTCCAGGCTGCATTTGGTGTTTGAGATGAAGAATAACCCCGGTTGTGGTGGTTCTCTGGAAGATGTTGTTGTGGAATATTGGGAGGAGGTTTTGGTTGACCTGGAAATATGGAAGACTGTGAAGAATAAGGATGAGTTGGCTAAGAGTATGATGGATATGAGCTGCCAGAGATTGCAGTTGTATATGTGGGGTTGTAACGATGATAGCACACCAAAGCAACGTGTCCAGTTTTACCACAAACTTGACAAACAACAGGATTTCTACCTCCGTAGCGACCTCCACGTCCTCTGAAAGGGCCTCCACGACCTCTACCTCTGGAAGGAGCATTATTATTGTAATTTGGAAGCTGAGCAACATAAGCAGATGAGTTTTCTGTAATATTTTGAGAGGTGGAATCATTATTTGGATTTGAGATTTCTAGGCGAGCAATATTAGCAGAAAGTAAATTCTGTTGCGATGATTCACGCTGTTTTCGAATTCGAAGCTCTTTAGCTAGTAACAATGCTTCAAGTTTAGAGAGAGAGACTGGATCAAGAATACTTCGTGAAGAGACAAAAGATACGAGAGCTTCGTAATCTTCTGGAAGTCCCTCAAGGATGACATTGATATAGTCCTTATTAGAAATAGGCTCACCGACGGCTGTAAGATCGTCAGCAATGCTTTGAATGCGTAGGAGATAGTCGCTAATAGATCGGTCACCTTTGCAAGTATTGTAGAGTTCGGACTTTAGTTGGCGAGCTCGAGCAACAATGTTTGCCTTGAAAAACTTCTGAATTTCATTCCAGATTTGATACGAATGACGACAGTGAATAACACGAGCGTGGAGTGACTTCGTAAGAGATGCGAGAAGCCAGGAACACAACATCTGATCTTGTTGCTCCCAGATAACATAGTCTTCGTTTACCACTTTGGTCTCGCCATCATCACCGGTGATAAATTGTTCAGGAATTTTAGGTTTTTCAACGAATTTCAGGAGTTTGTGAGCTCGCATCGCAGAGTCAACATGATGCTTCCAAAATAGAAAATTGTTGGAGTTAAGTTTGATCGGAAGAGGATGATTGAAGATCACTGGATGCGTAGAGCTTCCAGCGGTTGAAGATGAAGTAGTCGAGGAGGTCACCATGATTGGATAGAGCTAAAGCTCTGATACCATGATAGAATTTAGAGAGAGAAAGATAGAGGTAGAATTATCTCCTTAATTAAAATGATGTGTACAGAGAGTTTATATAGAAAAGATATACAACAGACTCAACAAAACTAAATGACTATTCTTTAACCGACTTATGCTAATAATGATTCGTATAGTATATCTAACAATGTCTAGTGAAAATCTGAAAAAATTGAAAAAATTAATTAATATAGCTAGACTCCTTACCTTGCGAAAAAGAGAATGGGAGACCCGGTCAAAAAAGCGCAAGTGTTTTGCACAATAAGATGAGACTTGGGGATCTTTCGAAAGATACGGCGTTTCCGTGCCATCATGAAATTGAACTTTTTGAAAACTAATCTTTTTGAAATTGAACTTGAAGGCTTTTGCAAAATTAGCATTAGTCTTTCGCGTACTTCAACTATACGTCAAAGCACCAATGTGCAGCGACGGTTAAACTTAGTTGTACACCATGTCAACTCTTTGCATAGGTTTAAGTGATAGTTCCTAGTAAGTGTCTTGCTGAGTTCCTTGACCTTAAGAATAACCCTGAAATTCCCGAGTACATTGAGTCCCTGTCAGGTTCCAAAACTCTCAAAGAAGGGATCTTTCACCATTCACCACCACCTACACAAGTCCTGATCAGTAGCTAGTTTATTAATGTTTGCCGCCATTACTTTAAGGATGTGTTTTATTTTGTCATTAATTTTAGCCAAGGTACAAAGAGGTAGTTTGGGGAAGAATTTTCTATGTTTAGTCTGTTTCTATGTGAGTATCCCTCTAATTACCTGTTCATGCTAATAGTCTTAATTTCGTGTGGTGATTATCGTAAGTCTCGATGTTCAGTTTGCTTGAGGATGAGCAAAAGCTTAAGTGTGGGAAAATCTGACAAGTCCGTATGTAGACACGCATTCGATGCGTGTTTAGATCGGCTTTTGATGGTTTCCATAATTATTTTGTGACACGAGTCTCATTTTTAGCTCAAGTCATACTTACCGGGTGTTGGTTCGAGTTTTGTATTGTTTGGAGTCAAAATCAAGGAATTTAAGCTCACCACTGGCGATTGAGAAGCAATCGGGATCATTTCGAGATGCATTTCAGAATGAATCGAGAGCTTTAGAGGTCACTGGGAGGTTTACAATTAAGTTATGATGACAAAAGAGCTCTAGGACTTGCTACGGGATCAAAAGAAGACGAATAGAACTGGAAAACGGCGATCAGGATGACCTTCTGTTAATCGTTCAAGCATATCTTTTTGTAGAAACATCCAAAGGACACGATTCAAGTTCCATATGAAAGCCAATTTCAAGGGTTACAAATCATATGAAGACACCATTGCGAGAATCTGAGAGGAGGAAGGTGGAAACAAACGAAGAAGTCAAATGATCGCTGTTGCGATTTCAGAATGCGACCTTCCACCATTTTATTCATATATTTTGATTGGATGATTCAAATCCAGTTTTACAAGTTGTGCTGGATAGAGGACTTCATTATCTACAACTTTCATGAGGGAAGCATCGTCAAATTCAGAAGGGAAGGCACGGTCGTGCCTGGTAGAGTAGAAGAAAGGAAGACCCAGCTACTGGAGGTCAGGCACGTCGTGCCTGTCAGGGAGGCACGATGACGCACGACATTGCTCCGCAGGCACGGAGGGAGGCACGGTCATGCCTAGGACCGTGCCTGCACCGGATTTTCCCAATTTTGCCCGAATTCAGCTTTTCAACCTTGTTCATCAATGTTTTGGGATTTTTTGTAAGTTCCATCTTTTTAATTAATAACAATTAATTCTTTTTATTCTAATTCTATTGATTCTTCAATTATGAATTGTGAGTAGTTTTAATTACGGTTTGGGATTGATGAAGGGGTTGATCAAAATGTATGGCAAGTTTCTTGATGGATTAATTACATGAATCTTTATTTAATTCGTGTTTGAATAATTAAATTGATATCTCTTGTAACTAGAACAGATGCTAGGATTATAATTGCACATAGAATAAATTAAGAGATATCTAATTTATTCTAGGACACCTTCACACACACTTAATCGTTCGCTATGAGATTAGTAGCGATTAAGGGGCCGTACGCTCGCTTGTTTTGGCAAGAATTTTAGATACTTGTCGCATGAGAGATCAGCCTGGTTCCCTAAATTATTGTACTCTACGCCGCGAGAGCGGTTAGAACTAAGTATTGATTAGCGTTGCTCAATTAATAAATTTTCATGTGATTGAGCTTGATCTGCCAGAAATCTTATTACCCCGGAATCAATCCATGTTCCCTTCGTCATTAATTAGAGAGACCCATTATTTTTAGCCGCTCAATCGCATTAGTTTTTTCTTCATTCAATCAATCTCACATGATGCTTTTATTTTATTTAGTTTAATCGCTGAATTTAATTAATTCTTGATTCCCTCTTTCCGTCCCTGTGGAGACGATACTCGTACTTACACCCTATACTACTATCTATTTTAAGTGCGAGAAAACTCACATCAGGATCTGATGGTAGCTATATAAGGGACCTTGGTATTGATTAATAAGGAACCTTTGGAAGAATTAATCCCTGGGGGGATTGACTAGGTCAGACACCATATTAATTCCAATAAAGCATTATTGTTTTCATTTCTCTGAGGTGCGACCACCGGTTCAAAGTCTTCCCTATATTCCATCACGCTTCGTGTTTGTTTGATACCCAACAGGGGTCCGAACGGGTTCTGCACCAATTCCGACTGAAACCGACGGAACAAAGCTTCCTTAAACTCTTCCCAGCTGAGCTCAGTAGATTGTTCCTCCCACCACTGAAACCAGTTCAGTGCTAGGCCCTCCATTGCCACCATAACAACTGAAACTCTGTCCTCATCAGTAATATTGTTCAATTTAAAAAAAAACTTTAAGCTCAAATTATCCAACCATAGGCTTCATCCCCACTGAGTACCGGTAAGTCTACTTTTCTTCCGGTTTTCAATAATGCCATATTGTTAGTGTTATCGCGTCTGGAATACGAAAATATAGACCAGTCAAAATTACCTCTTAAGTCAGAGGAATTTGTACTCGCCTCGCAACGCTTATGATTGGCATCCGAGATCTCACTCGCAATCGTCGGATATTCTGTTGCGTCATCCGAGTGTGCAGCTCCTCCAGCTTCACATCTGTTCTCCGATCATAGTTCAACATCCAGATGCGCATCTCGTCGCCGATGTTGTGCAGGTCCTGCACGTTATTCTCCAGACTCCAGTCTGTGCTCCATCTGTCCTCTCGTCCAGGTCATCCACAATCTCCAGGAAGGTGCTCTGATACCAATGATAGAAACTCGACAGTATATGTATATTAACTAAGGAAATAGACAAAACCTCCAAATTCCTGAAGCGAATACAATGGCAGAATTGGTAGCCTAGCGAAGAAACAAAAACGGAGAATACAAGTGAGACACTTCGAGTAGTCTACTAGTCTCCCACTCCCAATTCCCAGCCCGATCCCAATTTTCTGCCTGGCTGCCTGCCTTATTCTATGTCCCAACTCCTATTTATTCTTTCTCATGGGCCAGCCCATTGCTAATTAGTTACAGGTCCCTATCATACTCTTATGTCTTACCTATCTATAAATTGTAAGTGTGATGTATGAGAGGTATAAGTGTGAGAATTACTCTGGTAGTAATATTTCCTATTGTTCTTTTACAGCTACACCACCTTAAAGCTTCAAATCTCATTGCACCACACCACACCTTCAGGTGATTTTTTGTGTGTTATGATCATATGTTGAAGATACATACCAGCTGAATGTTGATGAAATCTTCTGTATCATCAATATACTCCTTGAGCTGTAAGTGGAAGAAAATGAAAGATAATGCATCCAATACTAGATGGGAAAACATTAAGGGTATCTTTGGATTCCAGAAAATTCTAGGAAGGGGAAAGAAAGCGGAGAGATTATTTAGAGTATTTAATTTTGCACTTTTACCTCAAAAAAACGCAAAGAATTATTAGTTATGATTAATATTTCCAAACTTTTCACATATGCTGTAATTGTTTAGACTTAATATAATTGAAACATATAAACAAATGAGTTTGAACAACTAAAAAAATATATACTCATTGAGTTCGAACAAAATCTTTTTTTGAGTTTGAACAAAATCTTTTTTTGAGTTTGAACAAATTCTTTTATTACAGTCTCCCCTACAACTCCACCCCTATTTTCTTACATTAGCATTTTCCAACCTTCAAACTGACCCTAGGGTATTAGTTGATTCTGGAAAACGCGCGAAAGAGGGGAGCAATAAGGAAATCATTTTCTTGTGTTGGATTTTACATTAGAAGATGAGATGCGTTCTATGTAAAAACATCTTGTGTTGGATTTTACATTAGAAGATGAAATGCGTTCTATGTAAAAACAGATAGGGGAATGTGGATACGAGCACGGGTACATGACAAAAAAAAATATAAGATGTGGAAACGCGGGGTATTTTTATAAATATTAAAAATTATAGGGGTGTATTTCTAAATATTAAAAATTATAGGATTTAAGTATTTACAAATGCTTAAGTAAATTCAAAGCGCAGTACCTGTTAGATATACATCATGTAATAGAGTAGAAGAATCTTCTTAAAACAGTATACTAGATAGGGGCCCGGTTGTTATGAAGTTAGTTAGACTTATAACCAATTGTATAAATACTTGTACTCGGTTCATTTGAAATTAATCTGAAACAGTATTATCTCTTATCTTCTTCCTCTCCTCTTCTTTGTCTAATATGGTATCAGAGCTCGTGCTCTAGATTGATCCAACAATGGTGTCATCTACCTCAGATTCTGTAACATCCACAAATTCTTCTTCCATCGTTACTTTCGCACATCAACTTCCGATCAAGCTTGATGCTAATAATTTCATTTTTTGGAAGCATCATGTTGAATCAATCGTTCGTGCACACAAACTTCTTCGGTTCATCATCAAACCAGAAATTCCGAAGCAATTTGTCTCCAGTGCCGATGAAGAAGCTGGAGTCGTGAATGAATTGTATATTGCCTGGGAACAACAAGACCAAATGCTCTTCTCGTGGTTGCTCTCATCCTTGTCTGAATCGCTTCATGCACGAGTGATCCATTGCAGAAATTCATATGAGCTCTGGAATGAGATCAACACGTTCTTCAGAGCAAGTATTGTTGCGAAGGCCAGACAGTTGAAATCGGAGCTGTATACTACTGCGAAAGGTGATCGTACTATTTCTGAGTACCTTCTTCTGATCCAAACCATCGCTGATAATCTCCTCTCTATTGGCGAACCGATAACCACTAAGGAACACATTAATGTGATTCTAGAAGGTTTACCGGAGGAATATGAATCCCTAGCATCATCTATTTCCTCTCGCAGCATTCTCGACCCTCCTACTTTGTCAGAAGTCGAATCTCTTTTGTCTGCCAAAGAGGTGCGATTGCAGAAACTTCGTGAATCGTCTCAGACGAATCTATTGTCTGCTAATGTAGCTCGTCTGGAGGTTACGTCCACAACTAATCAATCTGCCAGTGAAAATACTCCAGATAATGCTTCGATTCAACTTGCTCAGTTTAACAACAATGACAACCCTAACTCTTATCGAGGAAGAGGTCGTGGAGGTTTCAACCGAGGTAGAGGAGGAAGATTTGGAGGTCGCTATTCAGTCACATGTCAAGTTTGTGGAAAACCAGGCCACCATGCATTGATATGCTATCACCGCTACAATCCAGCTTATACTGCTTCAAATTCCACTCCCTCAAACCCCTATAGCCAACATTCTGCTTTTCCTAATCCTAATCCTCAACCACCATATCCTAATACCTTTCCACAGAGATCTAATTATCCTCAGCCACAGTTTCCTCAGCCACAATTCAACTGGGATCAGATATCATCTTACCATACTTCACCATCTCCTACACAACACCAATATCAACCCACTGCTACTCATCAACAACATCAACCTACTGTCAACACTTCTATTCTTTGGCCTCATCCACAAACTTGGTTTCCTGACTCAGGAGCCACTCACCATGTCACTGCAGATCCCCTTAACCTGCAGCATAGTGAGCCTATTACCACAACTGATAAGCTCTTTATGGGCAATGGTCAAGGTTTGGACATCAAGTCTATTGGTTTTACTTCCTTTCCTTCCCCTTATCAGTCCTCTATTTCTCTTTCTCTCAGAAATATTCTACATGTGCCTGCAATAACCAAAAATCTGATCAGTGTTAGTCAATTTGCTAAGGATAACAATGTCTATTTTGAATTTTATCCTTATGATTGCTTTGTGAAATCTCAGGGTTCTAAGCAAATCCTCTTACATGGAATTCTGGGAGAAGATGGTCTCTATAGATTCAAATCCTTTCCTGTTGTTGGTTCACATCAAAGTCCTACATCTACTAGCCAATCTTCTATGTTCTCTTCATACTGTTCCAAATCTGATGTTTTGTTATCTACATGTAATAATGCCAAATCTTGTAGTCCTATTTCAACTTGGAATCTTTGGCACCTTAGGCTTGGTCATCCTCACTTTGAGGCTCTGAAACTTGTTCTTCAGCAATGTAATGTTTCAAATATCAATAAAAGTGAGATTGACTTTTGTTCTGCTTGTTACATGGGTAAGGCACATAAGTTACCTTCCTATACTTCCACCACTGAATATAACCACCCTTTTGAGTTAGTGTTTACAGACCTATGGGGACCAGCCCCCATTTCCTCCTTTGATGGATACTGCTACTACATAGCATTCATTGATGCATATACTAAATACACTTGGATCTATTTTCTCAAAAGAAAATCAGATGCTCTTACAGCCTTTAATAACTTTTCTCAATATGTTCTAAACCAGTTTTCTACCTCAATAAAGTCTATTCAATCTGACTGGGGTGGTGAATTTAGGTCCTTCACTAAACTCCTCACTGAAAAAGGCATTATACACAGAGTTATTTGTCCTCACACACACCATCAAAATGGTGTTGTGGAGAGAAAACATCGTACCATTGTTGAAAAGGGCCTTTCTCTTCTGTCCCACTCCTCCTTGCCTCTTAAATTCTGGGATGCAGCTTTTGCTACCTTTGTTCATCTGATAAATAGAACACCATCCAAGTCAATCTCTAATTCCAGTCCATACTTCAAATTGCATAAATCTGTTCCTGATTATACCTTTCTCAAGGTTTTTGGTTGTGCCTGCTACCCTTTCACCAGACCCTATCATAAACACAAACTAGACTTTCACACTGAAGAGTGTGTTTTCATGGGCTATTCACCATGTCACAAAGGCTATAAATGCTTATCATCCTCAGGGAAAATTTACATCTCCAGAGATGTTATTTTTCAAGAAACCAAATTTCCTTATCCTACTTTGTTCAAACCTGCTTCATCTGCCTCTTCTTCTAACCTCCATCTGGATCATCCTTCTGTACCTATCAGTGTTCAGACCTTCATCCACCCTCCCGGCACCCCTGAATCTGAATCCTCAAGTGCTGACTCTGTATCTTCTCAAAACCACCCTCCAAACACATCTCATGAACACCATCCATCTCTCTCTAATAATACTCAAAGTCAATCTTCCTCTCATGAATCACAATCCTCATCTCATGAACACCCTCCCAACACATCTCATGAATCACACTCCTCACCTAGCCCTCATTCTTCTTCATCTGATTCTTTTCACCAAACTACTCCACCTCCTTCAGTTCCTATCATCAATAATCATCCCATGAGGACAAGGGCAAAGTCAGGCATAGTAAAACCAAGACTTCATTCTACCTCACTGTTGACTCATATTGAGCCTAAATCAGTTAACAGGTTCTCTCTTCTCCACAGTGGCTTGAAGCCATGAAGACTGAATATAATGCTTTGATTGCTAATAAAACCTGGACTCTTGTTTCTCTTCCTCCAGATAAGTATGCTATTGGATGCAAGTGGATTTACAGAGTCAAGGAGAATCCTGATGGATCTCTAAACAAGTTCAAAGCCAGATTGGTGGCTAAAGGCTTTCATCAAAAGTTTGGTTTTGATTTTGGGGAAACATTTTCTCCAGTTGTGAAGCCTATCACTATTGCTTACCATTGCTATTTCACACAATTGGTCCACCCAGCAGTTAGATGTTAACAATGCTTTCTTGAATGGTGAGCTAGATGAGGAAGTGTACATGGTTCAACCTCCAGGTTTTGAAGTTCAAGACACATCTCTGGTTTGTAAACTTCACAAATCACTATATGGCTTAAAGCAAGCTCCTAGAGCTTGGTTTCAAAAACTAACCTCAGTTCTTTATGCTGCTGGTTTTAAACAAAGCAAATCTGATCCTTCCCTACTCATCTATCTATCCTCTACAGTCCAAATTTACATTCTTATCTATGTTGATGATATTTTGGTCACGGGGAACAATTCAGCAGCCATAACTCAACTCATTCACAAACTTCATTCCTCATTTTCTCTAAAACACTTGGGAGAGCTTGATTTCTTTTTTGGAATAGAGGCACACAAACTCCTAGATGGCAGTCTTCACCTATCACAGGCTAAGTACATCAGAGATGTTCTAAATCAAGTTGGCATGCTTGAATCTAAGGGAGTTATGACACCTATGGTGAGCACTTGCAAACTGCAGAAACAAGGCAGCGATTACTACTTTAATCCTTCCCAGTATAGATCCATTGTTGGAATGTTACAGTATGCAACTTTGACTAGGCCAGATATCTGCTATGCTGTCAACAAAGTGTGACAATTCATGGCAGAACCACTGCAGGAGCACTAGAATGCGGTGAAACACATTCTCAGATATCTTTCTCGAAGTGTAAATCATGGAATTGTTATCAGACCTATTTCCTTGTCTTTTATACCTCTACCAATATCAGCCTACTGTGATGCTGACTGGTCCGGAATATGTATTTTCCGGACCAGTTAACTTGCAAAAATCATTTGACGACCTTCCCGATTGAGTTTTTGGCTGAATTATTTTGTGGATAAACTAGACTTGATGGAGAACATGTCATAAAAATTTCATCAAAAAAAGCCACCGGGAAGGCGGCCAAACGCCGCGGTCCGGACGGCGGTTCCGGTCAGGAACTCCTGACCGGATCATTACTATATATATATATATATAAACTTCGTGTACATATATATGTGTGTATATATATATATATTCTTTGAGTCCTCCAACTATTATGTCACTGACACTTTTGGTACTTGATTTTGATTTTTTCACTTTTAGTCCTTGACTATCGTGCTAGAGACACTTTTGGTACCCGTCTTTGAAAATATCTATATTTAGTCCTCTGACTTTCATAGAAGTGACACTTTTGGTCCTTCCACTATTATAATAATAACATTTTTAGTCCTCCATATATTGTGTCAAAATCATAGTGGAAGAACTAAAAGTGTCAATTTGATAATACTTTGGGGACTAAATGTGAGAAACTTTGAAGTTGAGGACTAAAAGTGTCTCTAGCACAATAGTTGAGGGCTAAAATTGGTTACAGTATAGTACCCTAGTCAAGTATTCGTGCTACATAGGATACGTTTGATTTCTTAAAATTAAAAATGACTTAAAAAATTAAATTATTTCCTGAGTTTTTAATGGTTGCAACATTGTGATTTTTGCACTATTCACACACCTTACTTTGATCACGATTTTCTACTAATATCATCATCATTATATAATCAAATTATTATGTATAAAGTGTTATTACATTATAATTAATGTGAATTTACTAGATATTAACTTTTTATACTTCGTAATGTTTACCAATACGTAATTAAATTTAATTACGGTCAAAGTTGTGTGTTGGCAAACATGAAAGTCAAACTATTGCAACTATTAAAGAACAGAGGATGGTACAATATATATTTAGTTTGAACATTTTCCTTCCTTTCAAATTTTATTACGCATATTTTTCCCCTTTTCATATTCCCTAGCACTGCCCCTTATAACCAAACCTACCCTAAACGTATAAAAGAGAGTGAGAAGATACCGAAGTTAACTTGTTGAGGGTGCTATCAATGACAACAAAATAAGCTTCTAACAGCATCTCAAGCTCCTCTATACTTTGTGCCTCTACAACACTCTCTGAACTTCTCATGCTCTCGTGCCGGCTTCTGGCTATGCTCAAACTCTTCTCAAGCTTCCTGTTGCTATCTGGAGGAGAAGAAACCGGAGAAACCGGAGCGGAAACAGACATCACACCGTCAGTTGATCTATACCCAATCAAAGATTGATCACCGTAAACCAATGATGATTCCATCCGTTGTTTCTTCTCAGTAAGATACATTTCAGCCATGTCACCGTCATCATCCATAAGTTGCTCTATCTCATCCCTAACCTAGATAGACAGGAACAGGGCATGAAGAACAAGAAAACATTAGGGTAATGTTTAGATTGCAGAATATGGTAACATGTTTAGTTTTATATTTGAAAAATGAATATAAACTACAACATGACTTTTTAATTAAATATACTTAGATTTCTTAGAATTAGTCTTGATATGATAAATATAAATAAATAAAAATGAGTTTGAACAAAGTATATGAGTTCAATACTCTATTTCCTTTTCTTCAAGCTTTTTTTCCTTCCAATTTCCTCTTGTTTTCCTGCTTTTCATTTTCTAGTATTTTGTGAGTTACAAAGTGGATAAGATGCAAGTAGGTTGTATTGTTGTACACTTGTACGGCTTAATCATGAGTGCGAAAGTGATTATATCATTGATTTCAACACAAAATAACGTGATTCATTATTCGTAGATTTTAGGTTTAGTAGATAAAATAAAGTCACTTGGTTTTGTAAAAAGTTAACCAATGCACAAAAACTTGTTAAACACTAGTTAGGCAGCTTCCGGATAGAGATCATGTCGACCCACATATAAATCATAGTTGGTACTTAAATTAAGGCATACTTAACCTAGTTTCTGATTTTTTTTCCCTAACAGAACATGTTTAATAAAAACTAGAGTTTCAAATAATCTAACACAAATATGCATAACATATGTACATATTAATAACTTTGTTTTTTTAAACCCGGTGAGCAAACCACCAAAATCAGTGGGGCAAATGATGGGGAACATTTACAATTATTTTATAAAAATAAAGAAAAATACAAAGGGAGAGGAGGACTAGACCAAAGCCTCTCCAGAAGAGGCATACCTCTTCCAAATACAAAATTAAAATAAAATAAATGTAAAATTGGTCTAGACCAAACCCAATAAAGATAAAGAAAAAGCAAGAAGCTACCCGTAATTGTAAATGAATCTAAAATAAGGAAAGCCCAATGAGTCTGTAATAATAGCTTTACACACTAAATGCGGAACTGCATTAATGTTAAAATAAGAACATATAGGATCTACATATTAATAACTTTGTATCATTACATTATAATTTAAAATTCACAAGCAATAACCTGATGATACCTACTATTCCAAAACTGCAAAAATATTTCATGGTTTACTCGAGCATTTGATTTTTCATTCTAACAATATCTACGTAGTTAAATTCTTGCAGTAAAAATAGTCTGTGCAATGTAAACTAACAAAGGCAATTTATCGCCAAAACACGTTGATAATCTATCAACCATTGTTTTAATTAAACAGTTATTCCTATGGTTTAGTGTCACCTAGAAGTCTACCCATGCCAGTTTTTTGAGTACTTTCATCATGAAATAATAAGTTGCTCTTTTCAAAACAGAGTGTTCCGGATTCAAAAGATTCAAAAGAGAGTGTTCCAGAATTTTTTAAAAAGACGGGATTTTTGGTCGACCCCCTTCCGCTGTCTATCAAACCAAACGGAGAATTTCTTATGTATCAAACCATAGTTCTTTCATTGGTTCATAAGAGTAAAGAAATTCTTAATCAAAAATACGTAAAACAACGAATAATTCGCGCTGAAGAGAACAATAATTGTTAAGTTTTGGTGCTTTTAAATGTCCAGTTCAATGCTACGGATTTAAATCAGTACTTCTGTACTTTATCTAATAAAATATGACAGAGCGCTATAGTAATACAAAATTTTCACAACCTCTAGCTACTTTATGAAACACAACTTGTTTGGGATAAAAAAAACTTTTGAAACATTACTCTATTACGGGGACAAAACGGAAATAAAAATCAAAGATAGCTACCAATGATAATTTGATACCTTTTGAACACGACGCGTCAAGGCAACAAGTCTACTTTTCAAACGACGAACACGCTCCAGATTCAATGTGCTTATCTTTGATGTAAGTTCATCCAACAAAGGGTATGCTTCAATTTCTAGCTCTGCCGCCTGACCAATTTCGAAAAAAGAAAAACAAAAGAAGCATATGTATGAATTAATACCCTAACACTTCAAGACATTTAAGGATAAAAAGCAAGTGATGATTGTCAATAAATAGAAGCAAAAAAATAAAAAACATGGTATATTTCAAATGTTTGTTTTTATCAATAATAATTTGAAAAGAACGCTTTGAGATATTATTATTTTTAATAAAAGTTATGGCATATAACTATGAGTTTTGCTAGGTGTACACAAAATGTGTACATCTTTTGTGTACACTAGTCTGTCCTTCGCAGACAAGTTGTTTGTCACAGACAACTTATAAGTGTACACAAATGGTGTACACATTTTGTGTACACCAAGCATTTTTCATATAACTATAAATGACTAAAAGTGCATAACAGCATATTCAAATTGAGTCGGTATGTGTCTGACAGAACACAATAATGGCTTAATTTTCCGGCTGAAATCAAAATCAGGCTGATAGAATCCTCCAAAATCCAGAACAGTTTACAGAAAGAAGATCAAGAAACAACTGAAAATGTTTATTGAAGAAGATCAATGGTAACAGTAACAAGGCCGAAGCCCCCAAAGAGAAGAGACAGATAATCTCTAATCTTCCCAGTCCCAGACCTAAAGTCCAAAAGCCTCCTTATGCCTTCCTTCCCCTTTCTATTTATAGTATAAGCCCTCTTATTATTCTCTATAATAATAGGCCCAAAATAACAGGCCCACTAAACAGTGTCTATTCTTCTAGTATTCCTATTAGAATTATTATTATTATTATTATTAATCTAATAGGTAGATCCCTAACAATACTCCCTCCCTAAACATCCACCTTGCCCTCAAGGTGGGTGGTAAGAGATAGCCAAGATCTTTTGCTTCATCCTCTTCCTTGCGCTTCTACCTTCCCAATATCTAACTGATTTCTGAGAAAAGAGCTTCTCTACTTGATTATTCCAATTCATAGATGTTACTGCAGCATATAATATCTCTGATGAATTTTCAGTTTCTTCATTAGTCTTCAGGCCTTCAATAGCCACAATTATCTCCTTATCTTCCTGAGATGTACCACCTACACCATTAGCAGAACTTATGTACATGCCCTGAACCTCTTTGCCAGTGTGATGCAACGATAAAACCAAGCAACATTTAGTGTCTGAGAATTCAGAGTCAACTCCTTCAACACTATATTCAATGTCTGATCTGATCTTCTTCCGTGGTCCTTCAGTTTCTTCCATCTGCTCCAAGCTAGACAACTCCATCTGATTTAAAGCAGTATTCCCTTTAATGATGCAATTCTTTTCTTGTTGTCTCCACTTTAAGATTTGCTCCTTAAAGTTAACCTCCATGTCTCCCAATCCAGTTAGCCAGTCCATTCCCAGCACTACATCAGTGCCTCCCAGCTCTAGCAGGTAGTAAGTCTGCTGAATATCTATGCCTTGAATCTTCATCTTTACCATATTACTTCTGCCCGCATTGGTAATGCATTTACCATTCCCAATTTGGACCTTATACCCCTGTATAGGTTGAAAAGGAATGTTGTATTCTTCCACTAATTTCTGTGATAAAAAATTGTGTGAAGCTCCAGTATCAATGAGGATATTCACCATCCTCTCTCCTCTAGGCCAGCTCATTTTGCCCTTAACCTTAAAAGTTTTTATAGAAGATATGCCCTCCTTACTCCAAATGGACAGCTGCATAGTTTTATGTTCCATGTGAGTAGCCTTATCCCCCTCAGAACTACCAGAGTCTTCCTCAGAATTTTCTTCACCTTCAGACTGTTCCACCAGAACCATTTTGAAGTTTTTCATCTTACATATATGTTCTCTTCCCCACTTATCACCACATTTGAAACAAAGCCCCTTTTTGCTCCTCTCCATTAACTCTTCTTGAGATAATCTTGGGCCACTTTTCTTATTCTGTTCTCCTTCCTCTCTGTTGATGTTGAAATCCTCAGTCCTCTTGGATACCATCTCAAGATTGCCTTTGTAATTTTTCCAATTCCTGTCATCTCCCCAATTCTGAATTTTGTTCTGTGATTTCTTCCTCCCCTCTTCCTTGTTCCTTACAATCAAGGCTTCCAGATTCTTGTTGTCAATTAAAGTAGCTGTATCCATTACTGCTGCCAAGGACTTTGCAGAATATAGCTTCAATTCAGCTCGGACATCTCTCCTTAATCCCTTCATAAAAATCCCTCTCAGGACTTCTTCAGTGAGGTGTCCTTGAAAAGCTATGGCTGTTTCAAATTGATCTCTGTACTCTTGTACTGTCCCCTTTTGTTTTAAACTTAATAAAGGTCCTAACGGATCCTGCACCAAATCAGGTTGAAAACGCTTCGTCAGAGCTTTTGTGAAAGTCTTCCAGTTTTGTCGATGAGCTTGTCCCTCCCACCATTGGAACCAACTCAGCGATTGGTCTTCCATAGCCACCACCGCCGCATCAATTTTGTCCTCCTCATCAGTATGGTTCAACCGGAAGTATCGGTTCATCCGCACCAGCCAACCGAACACGTCCTTTCCGTTAAAAATAGGTAGATCGATCTTCTTTCCAACCGGATGTTGCTTCCTGTGAATCCAGTGTGGATCGCGATGGCTGTTTGATTCAGAGTGTTCGGAATGATGATCTGAATCATCTGAGTGATAGCTGTTCTTCCTGTGTTGATGACGAGTGCTGTGATGCGAGGTAGTTGTTCGATGCGAAGTACTGGATCTATGCGATCGATGCGATTGGCTCCTCGATCGTTCCGATCGATTCACCTGCAACCTCGCGATGTCAGTTTGCATCGCTGCCAATCTCTCCAGCAAAGTGTTTTGCATTTCCGGCAAATGTCATTCAGTCCTCGCTTCCATCTCTCTCTGATTCCGTTCAACGTCGTTAATTCTTCCCTCCATTTTTGCGCGCGTGTATCTCATCCAGCGATCGAACACGCTCTGATACCAATGATAGAATCCTCCAAAATCCAGAACAGTTTACAGAAAGAAGATCAAGAAACAACTGAAAATGTGTATTGAAGAAGATCAATGGTAACAGTAACAAGGCCAAAGCCCCCAAAGAGAAGAGACGGATAATCTCTAATCTTCCCAGTCCCAGACCTAAAGTCCAAAAGCCTCCTTATGCCTTCCTTCCCCTTTCTATTTATAGTATAAGCCCTCTTATTATTCTCTATAATAATAGGCCCAAAATAACAGGCTCACTAAACAGTGTCTATTCTTCTAGTATTCCTATTAGAATTATTATTATTATTAATCTAATAGGTAGATCCCTAACACAGGCCATATTTGGTGTGTTGGGTATTTTATTAGCAAATCAAGCTGGTCAGCATATGCCTACCAAATGCCTTAATGTCGATTTACAGAATCAAAACATGCAACCTAAGAATCAAAACTCATTAGGGAACTTAAGGACTAATTGTAGATGGATAAGTTTTTTATGCTCTAGAAATTAATTTATCTAGTTGAAATAATTCAAATTTTAAACTTCAAAATATGTTTGACAACTAAATAAAAGACTGAACTGAAGCAAGGTACGAACTTTAATGTGGACATTTACAGTGGATAAGACCTGTTGGCACTTTTGGTCCCTCAATTAGGAAGAAATGGTAGATTAAGACTCACAATTACTGGTGCAACCATCTTTAGTCCCTTAATTATCCGGGTGGGTTTAGTCCTTAATTAACCTTTGTCAATGTGAAGCTTTTTTACAATAATGTTCTTTTTAATTTTGAGAGTTTCAAAATTTAAATGTTGAGCGGTTAAGCCCATTGGTGTTTAATTACAAGCAGTATGTAGGTATCACGTATTAAAAGTAGTCCTTAACTTTTAATTTTTGTAATGTAGTCCCTTAGTTGTGAAATAAATTACAGATATATTCTTCACATTAGTTCCATTAATAATGCAACAAACTCCGTTACAATTTGTGAATATTTTGTCCCTTAAATGTGCATTATGTTGCAAATGTCATACCTTAATTTTGCAACAATTTGTAAATATAGCAACGGCCGTAAATCATGTAAGAACAGAGTTTGTTAAATTACTAACGAGACTATGGCTACAAAGTCCAATGTCATATTTATATTCATGTTAGCTAACCCCGAAGTCTTTTGGTTAGACATGTTGTTGTTGATGCTGTGGAGACTATAGCTAAAACTTGTTTCACATTTAAGGGATGACATTTACAAGAGTCAAAAGACAGGTACTACATTTCAATATGTGAAATAAATGAGGGACCAAAAGTGCAATCTTTCCATTAAAACTGGAGAGTTCCATTGTCTATTATAAATTGAAGTTTTTTTCTAATGAAGCCTAAAAGCACCACTTCAGTGACAGTTTAAGGACTAAAAGTGGCACGTATAAGTCACTGACAATTGAGGGACTAAATGTATTGTTTCCCCATAATGAGAGGACTGAAAGATCCCTAGATAAAATATTCAACCAAAGGGCATAAATAAACTTCATAAAGACTGGAATGTCATAAAACAGAATGAGACTCACAATATGTTAAATACCTGAGAATCAAGAAAAGTGCAAGCGGATTCAAGAGCAACTTCAAGAGCGCGGAACTCAAAAGGTAAATAATCAGGTGATGAGTTCCCAAATATACTCTCAAGATTCCTACTACTTCCTCTCCTTCGGCTCAACTGAGGACCTTCCGGTTGCCAAACCTCACCAACCCCACCAGACTGCAACCGCCTCTGCAACTCCACCACATACTGAAGAACATAACTGTCAAGAGAGTTCAAAAGTAGAACCTCATCTGCCGTAATAATACACCTAATCTGCTCAAGGTTAACAACAATGGCCCTCTCTCTTCCAAGAATCGTTGAAGGGTACACAAATAATGGGTCAAGTAGCCGAAGATCACGTGCCGGGAGATCACAGCGGCGCATCATTGTGAACTTGTCAACCTCAATGACTTGGGAGTTTCCAGAAACTTCTACACGGATCCAAGACCGAACTCCCTGGCCACGCTTTTTAAGGCCTGGGACGTCCAGACCTTGGAATGGTTGACGACCAGAAGCTGATGACCTATAAGATGCCTCTCTTGTGTTTGCAACTGATGGTGCATATTTTGTAGGAAGCAGCCGTTCTTTTAGATCAGCCATGGGAGTGCTTCTAAATCTGAAAAACAAGACAAGAATATTTGAGAAGGAATAGATAGCTAAAGGTAAATAAGTCAGCTACTGGAGATAACTCGCTAACTAGAGCAGTTATGGTATGTTACATGTTTGAGGTGCATATTGAACCCAATGTTTGAAATCGCGTATTGCGGAGTTGAAGCGGTTTTTACCCAAGACGTATTGTGTAAGCCTCATTGTGCATTGAGGGGTAAGGCTAGGGCGTAAATCTTAATGTGTAGGGCATTTGTGTATATAAAAAGTTAGAACTAATAAGAAATAAATATAAATAGGTAAAACTCCCGAAATAGGAGTAACAACGTTATGGAATTCCAAAATAGAAATAATCATTGTCAAGTTTTTATTCCCTAAATAGAAATAATTACTGTCAAGCTTGGGATACATTGCCATGATTAAAGTTCAATATTGCCAAAACATACCGGATTGTATGGTAAATCGTGATTTTGTGAGAAGGATCCAAACAACGGAAGTTAAAGAGGCTCTGAGGAAGATGGGGCGGAAGAAAGCAGTGGGTCCAGATGGCATACCGATCGAGGCTCGGAGAAGTTTGGGAGAGAGAGGCGTCGAGTGGTTAACAAGTTTTTTCAACATGATTTGGAGAAACAACAAGATGCCGACAAGTAGGAGGAAGAGTACTTTTATCCCCTTATTCAAGAATAAAGGTGATGTACAAGAATGTGCCAACTATCGAGGGATTAAGCTTATGAGTCACACCATGAAACTTTGGGAGCGAGTGATTGAACAAAGACTTCGAAGAACTGTGAACATTTCAGAGAATCAATTCGGTTTTATGCCTGATCGCTCAACAACTGAGGCAATTCACCTTGTTTGGCAGCTTATGGAGAAGTACAGAGACACTCACAAGAATCTGCATTTGGTGTTCATTGACTTAGAAAAGGCTTATGATAGGGTACCTCGAGAAGTTCTTTGGTGGACCTTAACTAGAAAAGGCATATCACGCAAGTATATCAGCATCACCATGGATATGTATGAGGATAGTACTACAAGTGTTCGTACTAATGTAGGGAGGACTGCGGAGTTCCCTATTACTATCGGAGTGCACCAAGGATCGGCTCTAAGCCCTTTCTTATTTGTCATAGTCATGGATGAACTTACGCAGTCAATTCAAGACAAAATACCGTGGTGCATGATGTTTGCCGACGATATTGTATTGATTGATGAGACGCAAACAGGTCTTAAAGCAAAGTTGGAAATATGGCGACAAACATTGGAGAACAAGAGTTTCAGACTAAGTCGGAGCAAGACAAGCAAGACAGAGTACATGGAGTGCAAGTTTGGTGGAGGTAGAAGCAGTGGTAATAGTGGAATTGCTCTAGATGGTAAGGAGATATGTTCCGTTACTTGGGCTTCATAATTCAGAAGGACGGTGAGCTAGATAGAGATGTATCCCATAGAATTAAAACAGGGTGGATGAAGTGGAAGAGTGCGTCAGGATTTCTATGTGATAGAGGTATGCCGACTAGACTGAAGGGTAAATTTTATAGGACAGCAATTAGGCCTGCATTGCTCTATGGCGTAGAGTGTTGGGCGGTGAAACAATGTCACATTCAAAAGATGAGTGTGGCAGAGATGCGCATGTTGCGTTGGATGTGTGGGCATAGTAGGAAGGACCACGTGCGAAATGAGACAATCAGACAAAGAGTGGGAGTAGCACCTATTGAAGACAAGATGCGGGAGTCTCGCCTACGGTGGCTTGGTCATGTGCGTAGAAGACCAAGTGATGCACCTGTCAGACGTGTTGAGATGTGTGGAGAAGAGGTAGGGAAGAGAGAGAGAGGAAGACCCAACCAGACGTGGATAGGGGAGTCTGAAGTGATATGCTTCTTCTTGGGTTGGATGAGGGTATGACTTTGGAGAGAGCAAGGTGGAAGGCGGGTATTCATGTGGAGGAGTGATCTCGTATTATTTTTTCCCCTCATCTTTTTTCTTCTTGTTTTTTTTCTTTTATCCTTATATATATAAACATTATTTTTGTCCTTTTTATTTTATCATTTTTAGGTATATTCATCTCATTTTATATTATCTTTTTATATTAGCTTATTTTTTTATCTTTATTTTCTTTATTTTCTTTCTTTTCCTTTTGGTGGTGATATCATGTATCGATTCATGTTAGCCGACCCCAATATCTTTTGGGACTAAGGCTTGGATGTTGTTGTTGTATTGCCAAAACATGACAGTAATTACTATTTTTTAAAAAATAAAAGCATGGCAATCCCATTTTGGAATTCACAAACATTTTTTACTCATACTTAAGTCAATTTCTTATATAAATATCGATCCAAAACAACAAATTCAATAAACAAACTAACAATTATGTCAGAAAATAATGGAAATCGTGAGTTGAAACATGACATCGTGGAAATTGTTTATTCTAAAATTCTAAGTTTATAGATTAATGAATGTAAAAGAGTGTTGCTAATCGTAATATTTAAACATTATTTATACTTTGCATAATATATTAATTTAGTCCAAATTAAATTATATATACAATTATACTTCAAATCAAAAATTCAAATCATATGAAAAGTAAACTTCAGTATGAATAAAGGAAAAACGTGAATATAAATAATTAAAAAGTTGCACAAAAACAAAGTAAACATAGTAAAATTTGTGGGAATTAATTTCAAGCCTAATAAACATTTAACTAAAAACATGGAGATTAGAGGGATATTACCTGTGGCATGCCAAAAGGATTCTTTGGAACCCACTCAAAGTAATATACTTTGTATATAATTTGTCACTCTCATTAAACTTGCTGACGCACACCGAGGGATAGGCGGACGCGAGTAAGAACAACACAGAGAGAGGAGAAGGATAGGTGGATGGGCTTAGAGCTTACAAAAGAGCTAGTGAAAAAATACTTCGCAGAGAGACAGGAGGGGAAGGCAGACGCCACATGCTAATTAGATGAAAAGGTAAGTATTTTGATCAACTATTGAACTAATTGTTGGGTTTGAATTTTGAAATACATATGGGGCCATCACTTTCATGTAATTGGGAAACTTAACATTGTGTAAGCCTACTTGCAATTTGTATCGTACCTCTTATATTGTACGCGTCAGCCCCAAAATGCGTAAGCCTTCTTATGGCGTAAAATAAGGTTCGCCTTTAATCGCAACATTCCTGGAAATTGAGGAGGCGCGCCGCAATTTCAAACACTGATTGCACCACACAACTATTGACCCTTTATCCTACAAATCACTTCCTCTGTCTCAAACTTAGGTTCACATTTGTTTTGGCACGCTTGCTAAGAAAGTGAAATTACAAGGTTGAAATTTATTTAGAAAGTGGAAAGTAAATGAACCACACATGACACAACTCTTTCTCATAAATGAATGAGAAAATAATTTTGAGACGGGTATAAAGGAATGTAGGAAGCTAGTTTGGGGGAAGCGGGAGTATCTTCTACTTTAAGTATTACTCAACCTTCCATTTTTTCAATCATTGGTTTAGCAAGCATATTGTGCCTTATTGTTGTTATTGTAATATAAGTACAAAAATGACACCTTATTCATTCTAGTCATTAGTTCTAGTCATTGATAGTAAAAGTAGTTATCCAACTAACTAATGAAAGGTTTCCTATAGGATAATAAAAGTATCTGAAATGTTTTTCATCATAGCTTCCTTTTACGTGATTTAGAACTAGTGAAAGATTCTTTTATCAAACTAATTATTCTTTATCCAACTAAAATCTCCTGACTGAGTTCTAACAACTGTACGGAATCCCAGTTTAACATACCCTGCCCTTCCACAAGAAGATAGAAAGTGAAAAAATTAACCAGGTGAAGCAAAAGGACTGCACAACCAGCCGCTGTTGCTCCTCCGTACAACGACGCTGCAACCATCAATCGAAACGACGGGTGATAGATTCCGAGAGTGAGCTATGCGAGTCAATGAGGAGACACCAACCAAAACTCAGAATTTGGAACTTCGGATTTGGAATCTTATAAAGTTGATACGTCACGTCCTTTACTAGAACCTAACTCATGAGTGAAGGACCTCCGAGGGCCACATGTGTTCATTTAGGGCTTTTTTGTGTGTGGTGTGTAAGGTTGAGGGTCGGGGAGGAGGATACTATAGAGATTAAATTATGTAGGGAAAAATTGCACTTTTGGTCCTTTGATTATTGAAATGTTAGATTCATTTTTCTGTGATTGTAACTATCATCCTCGAGTTGATAGATGTGTTCTAAATATATTTCTGGTGAATTAATTGGTAGCCCAGAATTGGAGATGATTATAATCAGCAGAGATGACATTTACAACACATTCATCAATTCGTAAATTATATCCTACACCCGGATGTACATCCGATTTTTTTGTAATTAGTGGGATGTTTGAGAATAATTAATAGGCTAAGATGTTGAGCTGTTCTTTTTTTTCCGCGGCCACTGCACTCACGCACGTTCATCCGCTGCACTCACGTTTCATTCTTGTTTCTTTTCTTTCTTTTCGTTTCATTCTTCTTTTTTTGCTTCGTAATTCTTTCTTTGCTTCGTAATTCGTATGTTCTCCTTTTCTTTTCTTTTGTTTATTCTTTTTTTTCGCTTTCTTTGTTTGTTCTTCTTTTTTTAGCAACCTTCTACTTTAATGTTATATACAATTATTATAAAAATATATAATATAAAATATTATTAAATGTTTTAGTTTGTTTTTTAGATTCATGTAGAAGTTGATTATAGATATAGAGCACAGATCATGACACTTAGTTGCATGTTTTCAATACTCAATAGAGAAGGTTTGATGTTGAATAAAAATGTCTTGAAGTTCAAACTTAAGAAATTATGATTTATTTTTGTAAGTTACATTTGTTCAATTTGCACTCATATTATGCCCATTTTTATAATGTCAACCAAATAAGTCTGATGCTCATCGAAGGTGTTTTAATGCTCATTAAAAGTTCATTAATGCTCATTTAACACAAACTGTGATTTCCATCTCAATAGATGAGGTTTGATGCTCAATGAATATGTCATTATGTCAAACTAACAAACTTTGTGATTTTCATATCAACGAACATTTTGTAAGTTACGTATGCTCACCTAGTACTGATCTTATGCTCATTTTCTAAATGTCATATCAATACATTTGCTTTAATGTACTATTTTACATTAGATTCACATATTGAAATTCATAGGAGTTGATTAGAAATATAATTTAATAAGTTTTTATAAAGAAAAAACAATAAAAAGAAAGTGAATTAGAAGTTATGAAGCAGAGATCACAATTCTGAATTTGAGAAGCTATAAAAAGAATATGATTAATTTTGTAATTCAAGAATGACAAATTATAAATTATTTTTGAAACTAGAACATATTATATTTCTCTTTGTTACACAAATAAACATTTGAGCTTATTAGAAAATTTAAATGAGCTTTTGATTTTTTCAATGCTCATTTTATAACATATGTATACTCATTCAAGACTAGCGTTATGCTCATTTTAAAATGTCATTTCAATACTTATGAAACTAATGCTCAACAGAATAGTTATCATGGTCATTAAAAGTACATTAATGCTCATTTAACAGAAACTATTATTTTCATCTCAATAGAGAATGTTTGATGCTGAATGAAAACATCGTGATGTTCAACTAACAAACTGACTAACAAATTCATTAATTTTCATTTTGTAAGTTACATATGCACATTTGGTACTAGTATTATGCTCATTTCAAAACTTCAAAAGTATCATATTATATAAGATTTATGTAGAATTTGATTATAGATAATAGAGTACAGTCCATGATACTCAATTGCATATTTATAATAAAAGAGGTTTATTGCTCAATGAGAATACCCTGATGCTCAACTAAAAAAAACTATGATTTTCATATCAATGTTCATTTTTTAAGTTACGTATGCTCAATTGATACTCATTTAGGCTCATTTTCAAAATGTCATATGAATGCATGTTTCAAACAACTCTCCATTTGGATGAACAAGATTAATCATGGCCGGAGCGAAAATTCATCTTCTTTCTCTTCTCTTACTCTGTTCCACAATCAATGCATCTTACCCAAAACAAGGAAATGATCTAACAAATTCATTAATACTCATGTTGTAAGTTACATGATTTAGCAATGCACATTTCATTTGTATAGGTCTGATGCTCATTAATAATTCATGAATGCTCATATAATAGAAATCATGATTTTCATCAATCTCAATAGAGAAGTTTTGAAGCTGAATGAAAATGTTGTGATTTTCAACCAACAAAGCAACTAACAAATTCATTAATACTCATGTTGTAAGTTACATATGCTCATCTGATACTGAGCTTATGCTCATTTTCTAAATGTCATATCAATGCATTTTTATAAGTATTATTTTATGATAGACTTCTAATACTCAACATAATAGGTTTGATGCTCATTAAAAGTTTATTATTACTCATTCACAAGAAACTGTGATTTTCATCTCAATAGCAGATGTTTGATGCTCAATTAAAATGTTGACTCCTAATACTCAACAGAATAGGTCGGGTGCTCATTAAAAGTTTATAATTACTCATTCTCCAGAAGTTGTGATTTTCATCTTAATAGTGGAGGTTTGATGCTCAATTAAAATGTCATGATGTTCAACTAACAATCATTACGATTTTCATATCAATGTGCACTTTGTAAGTTATGTATGCTCATTTGATACTGATGTTATGCTCATTTTTAAAATGTCATATCAATGCATATTTCAAAAGTATCATATTACATTAGACTCGCATATTGAAATTAATAGGAGTGAATTTTAAATATAAATCAATAAGTTTTTATAGCAGAAAAAAAAAGAATTGGAAGATATGAAGCAAAGATCGTGATACTCATTATTAACCTCATAATACTCAATACAATATGTGAGATGCTCAACAAAACTACATTATTGCTCATTTAGCATGATCCATGATTTTTCGCTTAAATTACAAAACTGTCACCGAAAAAAAAATAGGCCGTTTTAATTGAATGGACTGTCTTTCTTAATTGGGCCTGTTTTGTGGGCCTTCCGTTGGATTCATTTAATTCTATTCAATCTGGGTTATCAAATTTGGGCTGAAGTTTAAAAAAATTAAAAAAAAAACGGATGTACGGTTCTCACCCGTACACCCGGGTGTACGATATACGTACTCTCATCAATTCGGGGTGACATTTACAATCTCAGAAATACGAGTCCGACATTTTAATATAGTGACTAATTGAGGGATCAAAAGTGTGATTTTCCTTTTATGAAATCTTGTGAAGTAGACTGGAAAAATAAAATAAAAAAGCAGAGGCGGCAAAAGAACCAAAAAAATCCTACAGGAGGACGGGATCACAATGATATTCCTGGTATCAAATAAGATGGCACTGATTTACACTTTAATATATCGATCTCTAACCAAACAGTTTCTTATAATTATTACTAGTATTACTAATCTAGCAACTTGTGCGTTACAAGACACGATTCCAATAAAACTTGGGCAATTTTGCCTTTTTGCAAAAAACTTTGTCATTTTTATTTAAAAATAATAAATACGTAATATGTGGCTAAAGTCATTTCTCTTTGAATCGCACAGATTTTACTTTATTATTATTATTTTACTTTATTAATTCATTTGATAAATAATGATTTTTTGTATATAATCAAATTGAAATATATAAAATCTATAAAAATGAAATAATTCATAATCAACACTTAAGGTAAATACTCCGTATATGTGTAGTATTTATTTATTCTCCTCCTTTTTCTACTACTTGGCCTCTCAATGCCCTATTTTATACACACCCTGCTCTCATGTACAATACTTAAAATGATACTACCTCCGTCTCAATGAACTTTGCACTCTTTGAATTAGATGAGAAATAAGATTATTAAAAATTGGCTAAAGGGTCAAATAGGCCCTTGAACTGACTTAAAGTGTTCAATTAGCCCCTTATATAGGAGGTTCTGCCCGGCCGTCGTCAATTGGGGCGGTTCCCGGTGGAATTGTTTGATGAGATTTTTTGAGCATCGTCTTCATTAAGTCTAGTTTACCCATACCAAATTTCAGCTACAAATTCAACCGGGAAGGCAGTCAAATGATTTTCCGAAATGTACTGCGCTGTTTAACTTCACAGTTATCTTCAAAAAATTATTTGACTGCCTTCCCGATTGAAGTTTTAGCTGAAATTTGGTATGAGTAAACTAGACTTAATGAAGAAGATGCTCAAAACAATTCATAAAAAATTTCACCGAGAACCGCCCCAATTGGCAACGGCCGAGCAGAACCTCCTATATAAGGGGCTAATTGAACACTTTAGGTCAGTTCAGGGGCCTATTTGACCCTTTAGCCTTAAAAATTAAGTTGTTGACTTGTTGAGGTTTGTGCAGAGGAAAGAGAAATGAGCATAATCACAAATTAATTACTTTAATAAAAAGGTGACAAAGCTTTTTAAGACATCCAAAAAGGTAAGTTGGCAAAGTCCAATAGGACGGAGGGGGTATATAGAAAGATATTTTATTTGAATTTATGTATTTGTGTGTAAAGATGATATCCCAACCATTCAAATTTATTAGGATTGATACAAATATATAGCAAACTATACATTCTCGAATTTGAAACAATGCATAAAAAATGATTAAGTTTTCATATAAATGTGTTTCATACCCGAATTTAAAACTATATTTTATTTGAATTTATGTATTTGTGTGTTTCATATATATCTATGTTTTTTATATTCCAAAATTTAATCTTTTGTAACTCATTCTTTATATTTTCCTGTTTTGATTAATCTCGTCTAATTAGCTATAAGGGATACAAAACTAACAATGTCGAGTCAATGCGCTTATCGCTACACTAAAAGCGATAATACCACTTATAGGATCGATTCGTCTCGTTTTACCATTTTCTCAGTGGATCACCCATTATTGAGATTTCTTGCCCCGGACTCGCAAAATATGTATTCTATAACTCGTAAAGGCGTATATTTTATAATTTTAAAAAGTACTTTTCAATGTCAGTTGTCGTGTAACCCTTATCAAAGGGTGGAAACTAAAATTATTCCTGCAGCGGTACAACCAAATAAACCCTCCCAGACGACAATTGAACGACGCAAGAGACCTTCACAAAAATTGGACCTTATTAAATGTGTCGGACTTTTAACATGTGCCGCAACAATATCGGCCAATAACCGTTATTAAAAGCCCAATTCAACCATTATTAAAAAAACTTCCATAATGGTTCCCGGACCCATATTAAAAGTACCAGAATCTTTGATGGATTTTCACTAAGTTATTTAGTCCAATACACTTGAAATGTTCTCCATCGATCATCGATCATCTTCGCATTCCATCGTAATTGGTTGAGGTTTAGCATACAAAGTAGAATGAAGTTGTAACACCGCATGTATTACAGTAGAAAAACATTTGCTTACTGTTCTCCCGGATCTTTGAAAGTCAGTTATTAAGGTTCTATTTTTGTGATGATGGGATAATACAAGTAGAAATATAGCTACTTGTTCTTCTACTATCAAATGTCGTGTTGGTCTCAACCCACCTTTTGTAACCAACATATCACACAACTTGAAAAAAGCAGCACGACTCATTCTTAATTGGGAAATGCAATATGCTTCAGGTCCGTGTACTAATCTTTTAAAATATCCTTCCCTTTTGGAATGATTGTCTATTATATATCGCATACCTCGTGTTCGTCTTCGCCTTGTGGATAATGAAACAAACATCCAAAATATGATTGTCATAAACCATGTTTGAGCATTCAGCCACCACTTCAATGAATTTCTCCTTTTGACACGCTTTGAATTTAAAGCACTTTGCCCTAATACATGGTTGTTTGATGTTTGACTTTCATCCATTCTATAAATATTAAAAAAAAAAACAGAAATGAGATTGTAATGAATTGAAAAGGACAAAAGGCATTAAAAATTTGATATATACGTAAGAACAAATATGGGAAAAAACAAATGGCACCACATATTGAAATTACACACCACAAGCACCTAAGGAGACAAATCAACTCATTTAAAGGAATCATTGGCCACATTCGAATCTCTGCACTTTGCTCCTACATATATCTATAAATCTACATATAGCTAATTTATATATGTGTGTGAGAGTGAGAGAGGGAGAGATTTCGAACAGGGAGATAGAGGGGCCTTGTTCAATCGGGCTGAAAAATGGAAGAAGAAAGTAATACCTGGAGGGCTAGAGATGGTCAACACGTCCAACTTGCTTCTTCGATGGAGATGGCGGCGGCTTCTTCTATGGAGATGGCAGTTGCTTCTTCGATGGAGATGGGAGCGATGGTTTGTCTCTCACAGCTAAAGCAGTAGAAATGAAATGAGGGAGTAGGTTTTAAAGGTTAGTTATGTCATTTTAAATATAAGATGTCTTTTAAGGCTGATGAAGTAAACATGATTTTTGTTATTAAAACCCAGGCTTAGTAAACATTTCTAAAGTAACCGACGCTTAAGGAGTGTTTGGGTTTGCTTTAAAAAAGTGCTTTTCAGCTTTTGGCTTAAAAAAAGTTGAAAAGAGTGTTTTCAAATGACAGCTTCTGCTTAAATTAATCACTTAAAAGCTAAAAGCTGGAAGCAGGTAGAAGGGTGCTTTAAACTGCTTCTCACTTTTTCTATTACACAAAAAGTACTTATTTTACCAAACACTACCACCTTTTACTTTTTCAGAATCACTTTTTTCTCAAACACTACCAACTTTTACTATTAATCACTTTTCCCAAAATCACTTTAAAAAATCACTTTTTTAAAGTTGAAGCAATTGCAAACACTCCCTTAGTAAGAAACGGCTAAATAGACATCGTTTATTAAACAAGCAAGTAAACGTACAATCTAGCATTGATCACGGGCCTAGATAGTTAGGTTTTCACAAGGAGTACAACACCACTCCAAATTACTCTATTCATTAGGTTTTTCACTAATGAAACGAGCTGAATCAAAAGTTATTCAGTCCTATTCTACCTAATCTCTGGATTCACAAATCCTTTCAAAGATTTTACAACTTTTTGATTAAAAATAATAATCTAACCTCCCAACTATGCTAAGCATTAATGATATAACTTTGAATGAACTAGTCTAAGAGGTTAGAGAAGTGTGAGTGACCTTCCAAATTACTCTATTCATTAGGTTTTTCACTAATGAAACGAGCTGAATCAAAAGTTATTCAGTCCTATTCTACCTAATCTCTGGATTCACAAATCCTTTCAAAGATTTTACAACTTTTTGATTAAAAAAATAATCTAACCTCCCAACTATGCTAAGCATTAATGATATAACTTTGAATGAACTAGTCTAAGAGCTTAGAGAAGTGTGAGTGAGCTTAGAGTGAAGTGATAAATTAACACTTTCTCTATGTTGGATGTTCGTATAAACTTGTGTTGTATGATATAGCTCTCTACTTCTTCCGCTTCACACTTCTGTATTTATAGACCATTTGGTGTTGAATGTCTCTCGTTGGTTGAAGAGACTCAATCTTCTCCGTTGATTGATTCACTTGGTTGACTATTGATGAGTATTGATTATTTTTGTCTCCAAACGGCATGTTTGCGCTTCTTTTTGTATTTATACTACCTCTTCATTGTTTTAAGTATTTTGAGGAGTATGGGCAATATATACGAAATCCTTTTCCGTATTTTCATTTTGATTTCCGGACAATCCTTTCATTCGCTCATTACTACTTCTACCGTTTGAGTGTCCCATACAAATAATTTGACTATCTTTTCTTTGAGATAATTCCGAAGACCTTCAAAAGAGAATAAGTAAAGGTCATATACTTGTTTGGAGAAAATTATCCAACATAGGACTAAAACTCAACCTTTTTCTCAAAATAGGACCACATGCATGTTTTTCTCTAAATAGGACTAACCTTACCTTTTTTACCCCTAATTCTATTTAATTAATTAATTGATCTAAATAATTGCCCCCCCTAATTTCCTTGCACAACCAAGGCAATCCGTCGGTGGCGGGGCAGTCCGTGGTGGCGGCAGCACTTCGGCAGCGGCCGGCGGCGGATTCCGGCGGCGGCGGCAACTCCGGCAATTAATTAACCCAATTAATTGCCCCCCCTAGTTCTCTTGCACAACCAAGGCAGTCCATTGGTAGCGGGGCAGTCCGGAGGTGGCGGCAGCGGAAGAGGTGGTTTCCGGCGGCGGCGTCCGGCGGCAGGTGGCGGCAGAATGTTGGCAAACCTCCAGAAAAAAAAATATGGAATTTTTCCGGCGGCGGTCGCCGGAGCTTTGGCGGAGGCGGCCGGCGGTAGGTGGCGGCCGGCGGTAGGCGGCGGCCGGCGGTAGGCGGCGGCCGGCGGTAGGCGGCGGTAGGCGGCAGCCGGCGGTAGGCGGCGGTCCGGCAGTCCCGGGCAGCAGTGGTAAAGGTTGTGAGGGGTATTTTGGTCCAATCACTAATAAAAAGTCCTATTTAAGGATGTTTAAACTAAGTACTCCTATTTTGAGAAAAAAACCATGTTTTGATCCTATTAAGGTAAATTTCCCACTTGTTTGCAATATGTAACCAATAGTTACCTGGTCTTAGTTTTCATTTTTTCATTCTTCAGAATTATTGTGGATCCCATCAATTTACTTGTGGTTTTGACTCTGCTGCTAGAGACGAATTTGTAGAGAAATTTCTCGTGGTTAACTTTGGGTTGGTCAGCAAGGTTTGGTGTTGAGTTTCGGGAGCTTGCTGACAAAAGAATAGTTACTTTGTTTAAGAGTATCACAACAGCCAGCTACTGGTCATCCCAACAACAGGCCGTTGTTGATATTTTCACAAGAATCGAGTTAACTCTTTTTGTAGCTTTCCTTTCTTTTCTTTTGGTATGTCTTTTTTGTACTATTCTTCTTGTTTTTCTTTTTGTATGAGTACTTTTCTCTTTAGGGAATTAAAGCAGCAAAAATTACAAAGTACATAAACCAAACTTCTAGTCTATTACAGGTACATCATCAAAATCTAGAGGGATCTAATAGAAGTCTTATCACTAAAATTCATAATTCACTAACTGCCTTGGAAGGTTATATCTCATTGATTCCTAAAGAGCTAAATATGGTTACATATAGCATATCTCAGATAGAGGTCACCTCGGTTGCTCCTCTTCTTTTTACTAGGGCATGAGACCTTCCTAAGAATGTCCGGGGAGTTTTGGAGTTGGAAGTTAGAACATCACTCAATTCCATATATTTCTCAAGTTAATACATTTCGTTTTTTATTATATTGTTGTTTTGTCTTTAATGTTCAGACCTTTCCCATTTACGGTTGCAGGTTCTTTTAGGACATGTGTTTCTTTGTATGTTCATGGAGGTATGTCTCCGATAAAGAGGTTTTGGCTTGATGTCCCGTCTTTTGGTTTAATATTTTAAGCTTTTATTAATAAATTTCGGTAGATGTTCCTCGACATATACCCCACTCATTTTGGTGGTTTGACAACCGGATTAAAAAAACATAGTCATGTATATGCTTGTGGTAGTTGAAGCTTAGAGGAGATATTCACACGCACTATACTACGTACGTATCTAATATACTAGTTTTACTACACACGCGTTGCGCGATTAAATAAAATGTCCAATGGATTTTTATTGAATAAAATGTATATTATATGTTGATGTAATGAGTACTTTTAGTATTTGACATGTTAACATTTGTGTCAACTTAAAAATAAAGTATTTAATATTACTTCATTATGAAAGATGACCCAAAAGTAAACTAAAAAATGCAAATTCGTATAAGGGCTAGAACCCAGTTTTCTAATTTCATAAGAAAAGGCATCACTAACACAAAAATAAATATGTAATACATATCTTAATATTAATATTGATGGTTCACATTTGATCAAATATGGGACCATCACATGATGTACGAAATATGAAATAAAAGCTACAATAAATAAAGGTGGTCTAATAAATAAAGGTGAAGAGAAATATAAGGTTCACTAATATAGACAATAAACATTTATATTGTTCAAGAGAAAGTAAGAGTTTATTAAGTATTGCCTCCTAAATTCGATATCTTTGCTTCTATTCAACCAAGTGAACCAACTTCACACGTCACCATGAATTTTTGAATTTGAGATTGATCAAGATCACTAACCTATTATGTAATAATCATTTGTAGCCACACTTTAAATATGCATTGACGCATTGTATTATTTCATGTGGCGAGTTGTCTGGCCACCACAACGTAAAATAAAGATTTAGTAACTTTCAAATAAATGCATATTTATAGCTTAAGCACAAGAGTACAAATAAAAAAGAATAATTCTTTTCGATCTAAAGACCTAATTTAGTGATTCACAACCAACATGATAAAAGGTGGATTGAATATAGTCTGTCCAATCCATGAGAAAAAGCACTAAAGAAATTTAATAAGTTGGATTGTGTTTTAGTCTATCCAATCCATAGAAAGTTGTGATTATAAAATAAGTTGTTTGATCTGTGTATACTACATCATTTGACGGAGATAATTTGATAGAGAAACAAAAACTGTTTCTGGAAAATGTCCACGAATTCCGAACTAGAAGTTGATATCCAGTGCTAAAAGAGGAAAGTTCTCAAAAGAATGTCAATGGAGCCAAGAATCTTATCAAATATAAGAAGCTATATTTGACCAATAAATCAGTTAACCAAGCATTCCAGCCCAGCTGGTTGCGAGGTTACTGTGCCTAGTGAGAGGTCTCGAGTTCGAATCCCGCTAGGCACATAAGGGTTTGAAACCCAATGGAGTGAGTTTCAGCCCTGATTACTCCAGGCTCCCCCCAGCCCCCCTCCCCCAGACCCCCCTCCCCCAGCCCCCCCCCCCCCCCCCCCCATGGAGTAAAAAAAAAAAGAACGCAAACCAAAATACACACAATAACCAAGATAAAATAATTAGCATGTGATCTTTTCTACCTCACGATATCATGAAGTCGTGTTTGGTATTAGATTAAGCATTCAGATACCGAACACCTTTGGAAAACATCTTAAGACCATGATGTGTATGTGTACACAAAAAAAATGGTATTTAAAATCAATCTCCCTGGGATTTTCCATTTTTAACAGAAGCCTATTGCTTAAAAAACTGAAAAATGAAAGTAAAGGAAAATGCCAAAAAAAAAAATAGAAATGAGACAAATTCAACTGTCAAGAACTGTAAAGCCTAATAATAAGAGTAAATTGAAGCAATTAATAATTGTAACTAAGCTAATCACAAGAAGTCAAATGAGCTACACTCAACATAGTACATAAGATGGAGTTAGAGAGCGTTTGCAAAAGATTCAAAAAGTACCTTTCATT